TATGCCTTCACATTGTAAGTGGGATCCATTTCCCACCATAACAGAAAATTGGGGTATTGGGGTGGCTTTAAGATTGAGATGATGTATGATGCAAGGTTGCATGACGTTATGTGTGCTTCCAGTATCAACTAGCACCATGACAGATAAACTACCAATGAGTCCCTTTCATTTGAGAGTTTGAGGGTGAAATTGTCATGTCAATGCTTGAGTGGATAGTTAAAAATAAGTATCATCATGATTTTTCTGAGTATCGGTTTCAATGTCAGCCTCAATAGAATTGTGTGATTTCATAGAGTCATCTTCAGCTAAAAGTAATAAAAATCTACTAGATGAGCATTTATGACCAAGAATAAATTTCTCATCACAACTAAAACATTAGCCTTAAGCCCTTCTCTCTTGTAGTAGGGCCTGGGATAAGCGCTTAATGGGAAGTCTTGTGGGAGGGTTGGTGTATTGAGTTTTTGAAGGAATTGAACTTTGTTGGGTCAGGTTAGAATTGGTTTTTGAGGTAGAATGTGTAGTATATGTTGGCGAGGCTTTGATGTATGTATTAACATAGGGTTTGGTGAATTTGGGTTTGGTATCTTTGAGTTTTTGTTCTATCAATTTTGCAAGGACAATAGCTTGGGATATTGAGGTTGGTTTATGAATGGCCATTTCATTACGAATTTCAGTAGACAGACCGGAAATAAAACAATTTAAAATTGCATCTTGCGGTAAGCCAACAACTTGATTTCCTAATTGCTCAAACTTAGTTTGATAATCCATAACAGACCTATCTTGGGTTAATTTGAATAATCCAGCTTGATGATTATCATAAGTTGATGGACCAAAACTTAATTCTAAAGCTTTAGTGAAAAAACCCCAATCTGTTAAGAATTGGTTTTGGTGCATCCATTTAAACCAACCCAAAGCATCACATTTCATATAAAATGCAATTAAAAGTGTTCGACTTTCTAGTGGTAATTGATAAAAAGTGAAAAAATGCTCAGCTTGAAATAATCATTCAAATGGATTTGAACCATCAAACAATGCAAGTTCTAATTTAGGTGTTCATAAATGGGGTAATGTGAAAATTTGGGGAATTGAAGGGTACGGGGTTTGGCGGAAAAAAGGAAGAGTATAATTTTATATGGCTGAAAAAGCTATTGGGGTTGGGATGTAGGGTGGGTAAAGTGGTGGTTGTGGTGCAGCAGGTGGTCTCATTGCTTTAGGAATGGTAGGTTGTATGGTTGTATGATAAAATTTGTAGAAAGTCTTGTGGGGGTGTTGGTAGGGGTAACAACATGGGAAATAGGGTTTGTACTCATAGGTGTAAACGTAGGATTTTGAGTTATACCTGAAAAGCTAGTTGATTTATGAACAGTTTTCAGAATGTTGTTGCTCCTTTTGTGCATCCATTTTGGTTAGAATGGACATAATTGATTTGTATCTTGAGTCTGCCACCTGTTTCTCATTGTACATCCTTGTATGAATCCGACCCACATGTTGTTGCAGATCTCAGTAGCTTTATCAAATCTTTCATCAAGTCGTTGTTGGGTTTGATTCATAACATTATTAAGGTGTATGTGAGATGTTTGAACAACTTCTTCTATAATTTCTCTAGAAGAAGGGTTGGGGGTTTGGTGGGAGCCATGAATGTAAGATGAAAGCACCAATGATAGACCTATCTAGGTTAAGATTATAATCCAAGTTGCATAAAAAGAAATAACATAAGATAAAAATTTATATATTTCATTGATAAATAAAATTTCAAAGAGCTTACATATAAATAGCCAGAGTTACTCTCACTAAAAGGGCCATATGCCAAAATAAAAGATGCATCATCAAAATAAATTAGTGCGTACTACTAAAGAACCTCCCTCTTAATGATAAAAGTCCTTAAGCCAAACTGGTTCCTTCCTTTCTCTAATGGGCTTAATAATTTTCTTATCACAAAGTTGTGTGGCCAACTTCCATTAGCCTTATTGAGAAAAAGATTTGTCATTTCCCTAACGCAAGTGCGAATCACAACCTTAGCGAGTAGTACTAATAATTAACTGTTAAAAAGATTGTTCATTCTTAATTAGAGTAACCTTAACACCTCTTTCAATGGCAAACAATGCCATCAAGATCTACAAAAACTTTACTACTCACCAACATGCTTTTATGGTACAAATATTTAAGACGAGGCATTTTCGTTAGTACATTATAGAAATTAATGTTATGAGTATTACTAGTGCGTTTAAAACAAAATTTTGTATGACTATTACTAGCGCGTTTAAAAGAAAATTTTAAAACCATGGGGGAATCTTTTAGGATCATTTTAAAACTTTATTTAAGCAAAGTGCAAAAACGGTAGTTTGTATGATTTTTAGGATTATTTTTTAGTGTAAATTCATTTCAAAAAGATTTTAGAAATTAAAATCTGAAAATAAAATACGGAAAGTAACGAGTTAACCGGTATAGAGATAACATTATGAATTATAGAGGTTTGGTAAAAAAAAAGAACAGACCTAATATTCTCCTTAAGATTTATTCTTAAGAGCATCTAATAAATTTTAAGAGTTTTTAGTAGGTTGAACTCTCAAACCCCCTTATATAAGGAAAATGAAGTTTCTGCCAAACAACAAACAAAAAAGAGAAGCAATTAGTATTCCTTCTAAATGACAAATTAAATAGATTAATCTTCTTTCCAAACAACAAATTGAAGTGGTTACTCCCCAAGCTAAATTGAGATTTTACATGGGCTTATCTCTAACCAAGGTGAGCTTTTAAATTAGGATGAACTCACAAACTGACCAGAGGATTTGAATAGGCTAACTATTAACCATTGATATTTTATGTTAGGCTTATCTCAAACATAAGCAAGCTTTTAAACCTGGTTTAGCTTACGAACCAAATCGGGGTTTTGAACAGACTGACCACAAACTACTGAGATTTTATATCGAGCTTATCTCAAACCTAAGCACACTTTTAAACCAAAGTGAGCTTATGAACCAAAGTGGAGTTTTAAACATGATCACCACGAACCAAGTTGAGATTGTATATTAGAGTGATCTCGAACCGATGAAAGCTTTTGAATGGGTTGAGCTTACAAACTAAAACGACGACTTAGTAGCTAAATCCCCAAACCAAAGCTTTTAAAGGGTTTAACTTCAAATCCAAACAAGCAATCTTCTATGGATAAATTATTCAACCAAGGTAAAAATATTCCTGCAAGTGCTTGTATATTTTGAGTGATGTCAAAACTTGAAAAATATAGTGTTATGTATATTGGACGGTATCCGTCCATTCTAGATATGCATCTTGTCATTAGGAAGCATTTAAATCAGTTTGAAAAGGAGTCAACATCATATGTGCATTGAAAAACATGTTTTTGGACATTTAAAGACATTTCAGGCTAACCTACGCAAGAACATACCGACCTATACGAGCCTTAGCTTCAGTGTAGGCCAGCACATAGATTTTTCAGGTCGGCTCCCATGGAGCAGTATTAAAGTCTGTAGGTTCTTCCCACAGGTCGCGCCACAGGCTGCTTGATAGGCCGACCTATGACCTTCATAGGCTAACCTATGACCTTCATATGCCAACCTGAACGACACACGTAGGCCGACCCATTGCTTTCACAAGCCGACCTATGTGTTTTTCCCATCAAAAAATTCCAATTTTGCTCCAACTTTTTGCATTCATTTTGCCCATTCATTCACATACACACACACACACACACACACACACACACACACACACACACACACACAGATATATATATATATATATATATATATATATATATATATATATATATATATATATATATATATATATATATATATATATATATATATATATATATATATATATATATATATATATATATATATATATATATATATATATATATATATATATATATATATACACTCATACATGCATATTCTTATAGGTAAGGTTTCCTAGTGAATAAAACCTAAACAAAACCATATTACAAAGTTGCCTATCATCTCCATTCATTCTTTTATGCATACACACAATTGAACTACACATAATCATTTTTTGATTGTGTGACCATCTAGATTAGAGTTGATAACATCCAATTAGGTTTGGTGTGACTGAGAATATTGAGTTGGGGGATTTGTATGTTTCAAATAAGAAAATCAAGGTGGGGTTTTCCTTCAAAATTCAAAATTTCTACACATTTGCACAAAAATTCAAAATTTATCCGAAAAGTCGAAAGTTTACCTGAAATTTATGGTTTTGATGATGTTGAATGTTGTTATTGATAATGTTTAATGTTCCTGAGTCTTGTTTGATAAAATTTGATGTTATGAAAAGGTTGCAATTTTATGTTGAGAGAAAAGTTTGAGAAATGTGAGGGAGGAGAAGAGTCTGACGCGATTTAAGTTCTAAATCGTTCCGGAGATATATCTCTGAAAAATTCCAATGTTTCATGAAGTTTGGATGCGTTCGAAGATATATCTCTAAAATATTGCAACATTAATGAACTTTGGGTGCATCCAAAAATATATCTTCAAAATTAAAAAAAACATTTGTGGAATTTTAAATAATGCAATATAAATGCGTAGAGTGAAAAAATAAATAGTCAAAAACTATTTCTACAAATTTGAAGGCTTGTACCCGAAACCAACTTCAAAAATGAAACTTTGAGAAAAAAGAAAATGCACTGACAATGTAAAATTTTACGCTGTCAACCAATCACAACTATGCATTAGAATAAAATATATTTTTATTTTAAAAATACTGATATTACATGATAATTGTAGACATTTTGATTGGTTGCATGTATAAAATTGGTTTACACCGATAGTGCACTACCTTTAGATTTAGAAGAAAAAAATTATATCTTCACCGACAAAATTGTAAAAAAATAAAAAATAAAAAATAAAATAAAATAAAATAAATAACAAAATAAAATTGAATATTATGAAACAGGGTGAATGAACAAAGGAAGGTGATTGAGGAAGAAGAAACCCTAGCGAACCGTCGAATTAGGTTGAAAGATGACAGGGACGGAGGAGCCGACGGCGAAGAAGAGAGTCGTAACGGAATCTCTAGGATGGCTAACGGAATCGTCGATTATGCCAAAGAAGCACAGAGCCATAGAAGGTGTTGGAGCATCCTCCATCCTCGAATTGAAAGCTCAACTCTACAAATCTCAAGAAGATTCCAAAAAATCCCGAGAATTATCCGGCGCTGACGCCGAATATCAACGAGCCAAAAATTTCATCACTTCCAAAGATCATTTCTCCAATAAGAACTCCGGTGTCGATGCACGTGCTAACAAGTAAAACTTTTTCCCCAATTCAAGTATAATTATTTTGTCTTCTTAGGATTAGTTTGTTTAATTTGTTATTATACTTGATTGAATTTGTGTTTGTTGTTAATTGGGATTTTGTATGTGTTTTTTGTTATGATTAGGGATAAACTTGAATTGAAAGCTGTTAATGATGGATCAGTGAGTTATGCTGCATTGGAGAAGAAGGCTGCATTGTATGATAAGTTGGTTAAGGGAGAATTGTCTGATGAAGAGGATAAAGAGAAGTATTGTGTTGATTTTGTTCGTAAAGGGAATGATGGTGATGATGTCTCTACCACTTCGAATGTGTTTCAAGAAAATGAGCGTGGTGATGGTGATGGGGATGGTGATGCTTTTTCACTGTTTAATGTGAAACCTGTTGGGCTTGGTCGAGCTGCTGGAGTATTTGACGGTGCTGAGCACAAGCGAAATGTTAGGTATGTGATTTATCTCTTTACAACTTGTTTTTTTTTTGTTGAAAATGCAATGATTTTGTTCTATATAGCTAGGATAGACACAATGCAAAAGTTCTTAGTGCGTGTGTGTCTTTGTTTGATCGTTTGGAAACGTAGCTTTGGAAGATATTGTTCAGAGTAGTCATTCCTTGATAGCGGTGCGGAGCGGTTGACCCCAAAAAGTGGGATAGCGGGATAGCATATAGCGGGATGAATGCCCTATTTGATAATTTTTTTGGAAAAATTACACATAATAATTATAAACATTATATATAATGTAAAATTTAACAAATAGCTCAATTCATAAAATATTCATACATCAAAGCACACATAACTCTTGAAGGGCATAAACGACTATGAAGGAATGTTAAGATTGAGTTTCAACTCGAATTTGATTGAAAAACCCCAAAATTACCCTTAAAACATTGTAAGATTTAAGATAGCAAGCCGGGAACCGCTCTGCTCCGCTATCCCGCTATTTACCCTATAGCGGCTGCTATAGCATTCTGCTCTGCTAAGGCTCTTCGCATAGTGGACAGCCTCCGCTCTCCGCTATAGTGGGATAGCGCTGCTATTGACTACTCTATTGATATTGAATTTATGTTTGGATACCTTTGTTTGGAATATGATTTTGGTCAATTGCTGTTGTTTGGTTAGATTAAAAGCAATTTATTGTGCATAATTGCCAATGCAGGCTTAATAGGTGGTAGTGATAGGCTTTCCTTTCAAATGTCTAGTTTATAATTAAAGTCAAGATGTCTATGAGGGGTGTTTGGTTCAATGCGGAAATTAAATCTGTTTGACTACTGAGATACGAATGCTAGTGACAAGTCTATGTCTTACAATTCAAACTTGGTGAAATATCGAGGGAAAGGAAAGTGAAAGAAAATGTTTTGAGAGAGTGGAGACAAAAATTTTGAACTTTTTACATTTCTGAAAATGTTACATGGTGCAGAGTCTAAATCTCTATATAGAAGTCCAGTGAACTTGGCCGTTGCTTTTAACTATCAGTTAGTTAATTAACTCTAACTAATACACTTTACAAGAATCCTAGACTAAACAACATAACTAGCAACAACTGTTATAACTTATAGCAGAAATAGTCTATGTGAATACAATGGAAACAAACAGCTATGCTGCTAGCAGTAGAAAGCAGTAGTTATCAATTCTCTAACACCCTCCTCAATGCAACTAGCAGTAGAATGCAGTAATTATGAATTCTCTTACACCCCTTCGTAATTCAAGGTGCATGCACCGTTGTCTCTGTGTCACAAGTCTCGAGTAGATAAGGCCTTTATTAGTATATCAGCTAGTTGATCAACATATCGGATATGATACACCACTAGACTCTTGCTCAACATTTTTTTCTCTGACAAAAGAATATATTCAACTCCACGTGTCCTTAGTTGGGAGTGTAAAATATGATTGAGTTAAGGCAACAGTGATCCGATTATCATAAACCATCTGAGGTGTTAAAGCTGACACATGTAACTAATGCAGTAGTAAATTATTGATTGAGTACCCATTGTTCACTCATCTAGAGCTTTTAATAGGTAGGGGTGAGTTGTGGGATGCCTACTGGGTCAAGTGTAATTTTAGGTTTGATTATATTAAATTCACATTGATTGAATTATATAATATAGTGCTGTAAACTGTTCAGGTAGGTAATACCTTACCACTCTATAAGTAACAGTTATTTCTAGGTTGAGGGAATATATAAGTATAATGTTCTGTTTATCTTTTTCATATTAGCAGGGAGTGATGAAGCTGAGAATGCTTTTTTTTCCTATGATTAGTTAATTAGTTACTACTACCACTTTTTTAGGAGGCGCGAGGGGTTTTTTTTTGTTATGTTTGAACTTTTTTATCCATGATTATTATGAGTAGTTATTTCGTTAAATTTGTGAGTCTGCGGCTAATGTAATTATTCTTATTTGCAGGGAAGTTCATGAAGAAGCTAATCTGGCTAGAGAAAAGACTTCAGAAATTAAACTACGCAGACAGGAGCAGTTAGCTGCTCAACGTAAGAAACTTAAACAAGCCTATCTTCGGAAAAAATTGGAGCAACTGAAGTCCGCTTCTGTTGGATCTGAATCTGAGATTAAGCACACGTGATGTACGTGCCAACTATTTTCCGCAGTTTCTATTGGTGGATGGAGTGAAACCATAATTTCCTTATAGGAAGGCATGAGGAATTGAAAGCAGATTGAACCAGTATTATTATTCACTGGAGTTACAGCATTGGTATAACTGATTTCCTGTGATGCAAAACAACCACCTCAACTCGGGGTAAACAAGAAAAAGAAGCAAAAGAAAAACTCCTCTTCTGTTGTAAATGATGTAATTTGACAATTTCTGTATACATAAGTTATTGATATAGGTTTGAGCAAACACTGCCTTTAATTTTGTTGGCCAAACCTGAAATAGACCGGCGGTCTTCCTTTGACCTTTAAACTGATTTCAGTGATTTGAATTCACTATTGTCATGTTCATGTTTGTTTTAGGAGCGAAAGAAATACAAAAACAAATCTGGGTTTTGTTTGCATTTCCTATTGTCTCATAAATGAGATGAGTTAGAATCAAATATAGCATGTGTCTTATTTAAGATGAGCCTAAAAATATATTGCAATTCGAATGTCTTTCATCCAATATCTAAGCATATTTTCATTCCATATGTGTTTGTCTTTTTCATGAACACGTTTTTCAAATTTTCCCAAAAATTTAACTCTTTCATTAAATTTAATACTAAACACATACTCTATCTATATTGTTAACTTTAATTTCGTTTTTTTTTTTTGACAAGTAATGTAACTTTATATCAATTCATGTGACGATTATAGATATCACTAAATGTTGTCAAGCTAGAGGTTGAGGAATCTGTTGTTGAATCAGAGGCGTTGTTGCCACACCAGAGGTTGTCAAACCAAATGTTGTTGTCAATTAGTTGACAAACGATTGTTGATAAATATTTTATGATTGAACATAAATTTCCTATTGTCTCATAAATGAGATGAGTTAGAATCAAATATAGCATGTGTCTTATTTAAGATGAGCCTAAAAATATATTGCAATTCGAATGTCTTTCATCCAATATCTAAGCATATTTTCATTCCATATGTGTTTGTCTTTTTCATGAACACGTTTTTCAAATTTTCCCAAAAATTTAACTCTTTCATTAAATTTAATACTAAACACATACTCTATCTATATTGTTAACTTTAATTTCGTTTTTTTTTTTTGACAAGTAATGTAACTTTATATCAATTCATGTGACGATTATAGATATCACTAAATGTTGTCAAGCTAGAGGTTGAGGAATCTGTTGTTGGATCAGAGGCGTTGTTGCCACACCAGAGGTTGTCAAACCAAATGTTGTTGTCAATTAGTTGACAAACGATTGTTGATAAATATTTTATGATTGACCATAAATTTACCTTACCAGATAATATGTTGAAATGAGTTTGTGCTGAAGTAGTAATGTTAGGTTTTGCCATTGTCATCGAGAGGATTGGTTCATGTTCTAATAGGTGATGAGGAAAACAATTTATATATATAGTTAAGTTAAATATTAAGCATGAAAAACGGATTGATATGGAAAAAATAAAATAAAATTGTCAAAACTAAGTTTTGAACCAACGCCCGCTTTGGAGGAAAACATTAGTCTAAGACTTAAGACCACTCAGCTATCATGACAAATGAAATAGTTTGGTCGAATGATGTAAATAACAAATATTCAATAATCTTTGTTTTCTTTAAAAGTGTAATTGAACATTGAAAAAGTTCGACTCTGCTGGGGATCGAACCCAGAATCTCTGGTTCCGTAGACCAGCGCCTTATCCATTGGGCCACAGAGTCATTTGTGTTCACCTACCTCAAAATTGGTTATATATATTATTTTTAAAGAAGAACATCCAAGTTATTTATTAAGATCAACCTACGCGCAAAAGTAACAATTGTTTTACTATGTTTTTCGGTAGTCTGTATAATATACTGATGTTGTAATGTATATTTCCTCCACACAAAAATTATACGACATGTATATAGATTTATCTTTGGGAACAATGTATATATATTTTGTATAAAAAAATGTAAAACTTTTTGACACTACATTCAATTGCATGATTTGATTTAATGAATTGTATAAAAATTAAAAATATGTATTAGTGTATACATAGAGTTATTAATCTTGACCAAAGAATAGAATTACTATTCGAAATGCTTACCAGTGTTTCTTTGTTAACGTTTAAAAAAGGTCGTGCAATCCGAAGTTCAATTATAAGATAAACAAAATGTGGTTAAAAATAATTATACACATGGTTTGAACATGAATTCTTCCCAATGATTAGTCTGTATATGTGATTTAAATTGAATTGTAAGCTCTTAAGTTTGCATAAACAAGAAGCATGTTCAATCAAATTAATTCTTATTTATCAAAATTATCAAAACTGATTCAATTAACTTTAAGATTAGAGTTTTTTCAACATGAATAGAATATAGAATACTACTGACAAATAAATTACCAAGTGCAAATCAATTAAATGGTGTTTGTTCACCATTATAAGTGTCATCAACTGACAGCTAGTGTGTGGCAAGAATAGTGTGTACAAGAGTCTAAAAGATGAGGGAAGCAATTAGGTTCATTTCATAAAACATATCTAAACAAGTTCAATTCTAGAAGCATGGTTTACACATGAATAGATGGAGGTTAGCAACACTACAATGCATAAAGATAGGGAGTGCCAAGTATAGACAAAACCAATAAATTTTGAGGGGATAACAAAGTTCCTAACGATCCAAATAATTCAGTTATAAATATGTTAACACCATAGCATTTGTTATGTCTTTGTTGATGTATTGGCAGATAGCTCTCTCCCAGCATGTGAACAAATTAACATTGAAAATCGGAAATCTTGTTCAAGCCTCCCACCAATGTAAACAGCTTACTACCCTAGCAGCAAAGTTTGCTCCCTGAAATACATTTAGTTTGAAATGTAACTGATGTAATCAACAAATGAATTATGAAGACATAATTGATGATACATCTCCTGGGAGAAAATAAAAGTCAAATAACAAAATTGCTTACCTCTCAGAATCTGTGAGATATTGTGCTGATCTTACATTTATGATATCATATGCACCATACCAGCAACTATCATCAATCTATTGTCTTCTTGCAATTTCTGAAATTCCAAAAAAGACAAAACAGAGTAATTAGAATTTATGGCTGGAACATGCCACCGGATATTCAAAATTATAAAAACAATGCAAATAGAGAAACAAAAAGGGGTATATGTATAATGGAACATTATGATTATTCAATGAACATGATACAAGAGAACATCTTATTTATAAAATATTCCAGGAGACTACTGTGGTAAATATGGAAGGAATCAGTTTCCAACACCCCCGGAGATTTACCTCTAACAGGAGCAATATATCTGCTGAGCTGTAAGTGGAATCGGCCCCTCTATTGATAACATCTTCTATGTCTGCAATAGATATTTGATCAAGGCGATTGGCCCGCATATGCTGACCAAATAGGGAATTGAATGCTTCAATTCTGCATGTTAATAGAAAATAGTTACATCCAAAACAAGTAAAGAAAAGATTTCAATATAAGAAAACAACATTATGGGAGGCTTTGGATTGGTAGTTGAAAGACCTTTCGGGAGTGAGACCAACAGCTGGTTCGGCTGCTGAGGTATCATCTACTTCCATGGCATCTGATGTTGAGCTAGTAAAAAAAAACAGATTGAATTTTAATAATGGCCAAATAAGTTTAAGAAATCAGGACAAGAAAAGCCTCAATATTAACATGGTATTGATGTATCAGAGTCCTTGTGCATTATTGTAAAGGATGTTAATTCAGCTTCTGAATAGAATATGGGATAAACAAAATTTCAGCATGCAACACATGGTAATAATTAAGATATAAAAATGCTTGTGACGAGTATATTTATTTAGCTTCCACAAAAATAGTATAACTAACTATCACTTACTCTCTTTTGCTTTTAGAACCACGATCAGGACCATTGTTTTCAGTGTCAGCCTTACGCTTCCTCTCCTGTTCTCTTTCCCTCTCTTTTTCCCTCTCTTCTTCACGCTCATCCATTTCTGTCAGCTCTTTATGATATATTGCAAAATTAAGAATATTCAAAGCAGCATCCACATCAGACTTTGTAACCTGGCAAAACAGGTGGAGATTCAATCACAAGAGTGCTAAACACAACCACAAGCCACTACAGTACTACTACAATAGTACTACTACTACTACCACAATGTTGAGCTTATAAGAATAGCAATTGTAACAAGAAAAAAATGTAGCCAGTCAGGGTAAGTTTATGTTTTCTAGCATTTTCCTAATAGTGATTTTTTTGGGCATTTGAACTTATAATGATCAGTATAAACATCAACACCTTTGAATTGGATCAGTTTCTCCTGAATAAATAAGTGCTTGGGCAAAAAAAATCCTAAGTAATGGAGATATAGGTGGGGAGGTAACAAAACCCTTTACTCCTCATTATAACCAAAGAACCAAAGCCATAAACCACATTTTTACTACAAAGTGCTGAGCCCCAAAGAAACTTTGGATGGGTATCCCAACATACAAATGAAACTAAAAAGAAAGACTGAAAGTTAATTTGAAAATGGCATCTGGACGTGTTATTATTGTTGTACAAAATGGACATGTATCTCACAGATAATGATATTAGTAAATTACAAATATAGTACTGTACCTTTCTGCTCAATTTCAATTTGGCATGTATCTCACGGATAATGATATTAGTAAATTACAAATATAGTACTGTACCTTTCTGCTCAATTTCAATTTGGCATGAGCAGTTGAGAGTCGTATTATGGTTTCTAAAGTTCTGGCAGTTATAGGAAGTGTTCCTCCAGTCTGCATAAAACCAGCAAGATATCAATAAAAAACCAATATGTACAACTACTGATATGCTTCCAGCTAATTCCGTTCCTAATGCTAACCTTCGCATTTGAGTTAGCATTTCTGAGCTCAGCGTATGCTGTGGCAATCTGGTCAGATGCCTGTGGAAAAAACTAATTGATATAAGGGATTTGAACAAAAGCTTAAAAATCATTGAGAAAATCAGACT